ATTCCAGTGTGTTTCAATTTAAAATACAAGCTCTGTCATATTCTGACAGAGCATCGCACTGTTTAAAATACAGACTGAACGGAACATCAAAACATCCCACCGCATGATATGCAAACTACGTTTTCTCAGCTGGATAAAGCAAACCAGCTTCTCACTAGTTAACTTTGATGGGAGTCGTAATAGGAGTCCTAAACTAAGCACAAGTGAGTCTGATGCACTGACGCACAAACCATTTATGAGCATTCTTGATCATGTATTGTATTTATGCAAAGACAAATTTCAGTACATTCAGGTTGTTTCCACACACATTCAGTATAATGTTTGATTTGTCATGTATATGTTACTGTGTTTAGTCTTTCTGAATGGATCCATGTACTGTAGTATGTATAAGCAATCAGCTCAAGGCGGTTGGTTAACCCTTTACCGTTCCTGTAAAATTTGCCTAAAACGCCTAAAAAAGGCATACCCAAAGTAAATTGCATGCTGTTCTTGAACCATTTGGAGTACATACATGGTTTTGGTCTCTTTTGAAAGGGGACACTCTGAGGTGTTATTGGTATTGAGTAATAGAACTTTGAACACACTGAAAAATAAAATAAAAAATCCGCCTACATTTTTTTTTGTAAACAGATGCCTGCAGATGACTGTAGCTGGGAGCTATTAGCTGGAAAATACATTTGGATCACAGAACATATAATAAAACACTTACTTTTTGAGAGCGACGTCTCCTCCATCCAAAAGCATCCCCTCTCATCTGCTTCAATGGATGAAACATCACTCTCTTCGTCAAAAAACACTTTTATTGTCCGGCCAATTTTATTGTTATACATTGTTTAACAACTTATTAGAACAAAAGGTTTGTTTTTCGCGTTCTCTTTGATAGTTTTTTACCTATAACCACCTTTTCCCCGTTATCTCTCATTGAGCGCTCATTACGCACGGACGCACCAGTCACTATAATTCTTTGCGCACGGACTTCTGCGCACGATATGTTAAACCCTCCCACTAAAGTAAGTGTTACTCTCAAAAAGTAAATGTTTTATTTCAGAAGTTCATTGGCTATCAGAAACGACAGTCATTTGCAAACTCTGATGCAATTGGATCGGTCTACTGTCCATCAAAGAGAGGCTGCCTCATCCTTCATCCTGGAAGCTAGTTGGCATTACAGTGTAACTACACCATTTTTGTTGGAATGTAATGAATTAGTGGACTAACAAGAGGCTTCATAGGTGAGTTCCTTCAGTTTTGTTATTGTTTATTTGGTTGTTGTTGGTCTGACAAAGACACTGATAGTACCTGCTGTGTTGATTGTATCTTAAAATTACATTCGTCATCGGTTTGAGTCATTCGAATCACAAGAACCTCAGCTTTCCAAAGATATATGACACGTTTACCTTTTTTTTTTGTGTGTGTTTCACGAAGTTAACCCTCAAAGCATGCAGTGTACCGCGGGTGGCACACTGGAGTTGTATCAGGTTAAGGATTTTTTTTAGCATTCCCATGTGGTCCTGTTCGGTATTGCAACTTGACTTGTCTACTGTACACATACTATACACTATGAAATCTGAAAAAGTTTTTCTTTTCAGTATTTGTGTTTTTTTTTTATTTTTTATGTGCGCTTTGGTGTGCATAAATGTATCAATTAAAATCAATTTAATCACGCGCCAGCAAAACAAAGTGTTAAGATATACTCTTTGAGAGAAGCACTCAATCAGCAGAAGTTAAAAGCAGCTCGTAAGTGTATACAGCAGTTGTCGTTGCTAGGAAACGCTTGTTTTGTTTACTGTGTGGAGACGTGCTGAAATCGCGTTTGGTCTTGTACTGTATCGCGTACCTTGTCAGTGTCGTGCGCTTTGCTTGGCCATTTGTTGTGATAAACAGGAAAGTGTGTCCTTCTGCTGTCCTGGTAATGCAAGGAATGTTGTGAGTGGTTGTCAAGGCAGCCAATCAGAATTTAGCAGCCTCTTCTCTGATTGGCTGGAATCATGGCATATTGTAATGCTGGGTTGTGTTGAGCAAGCGAGCTGTTGGCATTTAGAGAGCACTGAGGGCAGGCATCAAGGGAGCAAACTAGTGAAACGTTGCATGTGCAAAAGAGAAGGTCCGCACACATCCAAAAACGTATTTTAAATGCTAAATTTAAATTTAAATGTTTTAGTTTTGAAGTGTTGTTGTATGCATTTGTCATTTTTATTTAATTTATTTTATTTTCTTAAATGTGTATATATATAGTATTTATAGAGTTTTAGCTTTTAGTTTTAATTACTTTTTCTTATTTGTAAGTCGCTTTGGATAAAAGCGTCTGCTAAATGACTAAAAGTAAAGTAAAAGTAAATTAGCCTATATGGTCTTCTTACATCATTTGGTTCTTTGGTGTCCTTTTTGGAGTCTTCAAGTGTCCTTTTTTGCAAAGACATCTATATTTATCTTAAAAAATAAACGCTGTCAATAGATTAAAATCTTTAATCAGATTAAATCACACCCTTTTTGTGTGAATAATCACGATTAATCGCACACTTATCATGAAATTAAGCATACACCATTTATCTTGTTTAACTTATTCATTTTGTCATAATTTGCTATATCCAGCAAAGTAAACCAATAGATTGAAGGGTGATTCTCACAAAACTGTATTTCCTGCAATCTTATTTAAAGATACATTAAAGACATCTTTTCAAAAAAAGACACTTGGAGACTCCAAAAAACCAAGTGATATAATAAGTTCATATACATTTATGCACACCAAAACACACACTAAAAAAAATAAAAAAATAAATAAATATACAAATGTTCAGAATAGGGATGTAACGGTATGAAAATGTCTTATCACGATTATAGTGACCAAAATTATCACGGTTATCAGTATTATCACGGTATTGTT